ACGCTTGGAATGCAGAAAATCAAAGACCGTGAATTTAGTGTTGTGACACAGTGCATTTTGTCAAAGACCTTAAAGAACCCAAAGCCAGCAACAGTAAACAATGTGCTTTTGAAAATCAATGGTAAAATGGGTGGAGTGAACAATACGCTTGGAAGAGAAAGCAGTACTTTTGTAAGTATTGATTTTGTTGTATTATGCTCTTTTAACTGGTTGATACTCCTATGTTTTGTGATGCATGACAGGCATTGGAGAGACAATGAATGGACTTGAATTTTAAGAGTAGGTTTAGTGTCAATTTTTATGAAAAATTACATTTTAAATTTTTATATCTCTTGAAAAGCATATTTTTGTTGTATCAAATATGAGCATGTCAGTTCATCTACATGTTAAAAATATCCTGTAATATCAGTTACAATTTTCTAATTGTATACTCATGGTTAACTCAATGTCAACGGGATAATGGCGATGGTGTGGTAGTCTAGTTAGTGTTAAGCGCTTGCATGCCTTCTCGCTTGTAGCTGCCACATCTAGCTAGCCTAATGCAAAAAAGGGAGCAGCGTGGCATAAGCCTCCCCTGCCAGTGCATAGCCTCTCTTTCATTGAGACTTCTGCAGTGCCTCCTCATGGCCTTGTGGTCCCAGGCTAAACTGTAGGGGATCTCAGAGCAGCAGGAGGCCCCAGAGATTCAGGCCCTTGCCCTGTACCAACAACTGCCCTCAATCCCCCTGGGGTTAATGGGAGGCTCGGGGGAGGTGGGCCTTGCCAGTCCTCCTCCCTCCAGATATAACCAATTGGCAGTGCTTTATGTAAATGGAAAGGCTGAGAGGAGGAGAAAAGATCCTCCCACCCAGCAAGTGAGATGGACTGTGGGCCCTGTTGGGAGGGCAGCTGCTGGAGTGCATGTTAGGAATGGAAACTACTCGTCCCACCTGGCAGCCACCAGCCCGAAGTGAAGCTTGTGGGGGAAAGCCCTAGGGAACCCCACAGGTGGATGATGGGGCCCGCAGCCCAACCCCCCTTCCCTTTTATATGGGGCAGCGTCAGCGGGGATGGCACAGGTGGCGTCCACCTTGATTGACTGCCCGAGGCCAAACCTCAGGCGAGAATTCAGGGAGGGGGCTTGGAACGTCCATTCTTTGCATTAGGATGATCGTTTGCCTCTACAGTCGAGGGAACTGGGGAGGCTGAGAGTTGAGGTGGCTGCTCTCTCAGAGGTGAGGAGATCTGGCAGCGCCATGACCAATGTAGGTGGCTACACCTATTACTGGTCAGGATGCAGCGATGGTAACCATCTCCAGGGAGTAGCCAAACTTGCATCTGTGGCAGACAGTTGTCCCTAGCGAGATATTCATATTGCTCTGGGTGACATCAGTGTGATATCTGGCTGTGATTAAGCTGGCTATGAGATGTCTGTCGGTCCCCATGGCTCAGGAGCTGATGCTGGTCGTGAGAATAGCCTCCTTTTCCGGGACTTTGCTAGGTCCCAGAAATTGAGGATTTCTGGCTCCTGATACCAGCGCCCAGACCCACATCATTGGACATGGTACAGCGATGCAAGGAATTTAGCCGTTGCCAGACCCACCCATCATTGAGGATCCTCCCTCCCTAACTGAAGTTAGGGGGGTGATCTCCAAGCTGAGGAGTGGTAAAGCAGCAGGTGTCTGCGGCATTCCAGCTGAACTGTTAAAGGCTGTTGGTAAACCTATGGCGCTGGGGTTACATGCTGTCCTGGCTGCCAACTGGCGGTCCAGTACCATTCCTCCCGACCTGTTGAGGGGTGTGAGCATCCCTCTCTGGAAGAGGAAGGGGGACTGATGGGACTGCAGCAATCACTGAGGCATCACACTGTTCAGTGTACCAGGGAAGGTTTTCGCCCACATCCTTCTGAGATGTATATCAGAGACCTGAGGCACCAGAGGCCAGAGCATTCCGGATTCACTCCTGGGAAGTCCACAATAGAGCGTATCCTTGCGCTTCGAGTTATTGTAGGGCACCGCCGTGAGTTCGGGCATGGGCTGCTTGCAGCCTGCATCGACCTGTTGCTTTTCTATCTGAGTCTTTGGAAACCTTAGTGGTGGCTCTTGATGCATTTAGCAATGAAGCAAAATCCTTGGGTCTAGAGGTCTCCTAAACCAAGACCAAGGTCCAGGGCTTTGGGGACTTCCTAGGAGAACCTGTTCAGTCAGTACATGCTCGCGGCGAGGACATTGAAGTCACAGAGAGCTTTACATACCTTGTTAGTGTAGTTCATAACTCAGACAGCAGACAGATTGGCTTGGCAGTAGGGGTCATGAACTCTCTCGACAAGAGTATTTGGAGATGTTGGTACCTGTGCAGAAGGACCAAGCTACGGGTTTTCAAGGCCCTGATAATGCCAGTTTTGCTATACGGTAGTGAAACCTGGACATTATTCTGTGCCTTGGAGTCTTGTCTTGAGGCCTTCTGTAATAGGTCCTTGCGCCAGATCATGGGGTACTGTTGGAGGGGCCATGTGTCCAAC